GCTGCCTGGCCGCACGTGGCCGCAGGCGGTGTGTCCCCGCGGCGCGGCCCGCTCAAAATGGAGTCGGGCGTGCGTGGGGTGCCCGGGTGCTGCCTCCGTGCCGAGACGGCTGTGGCACGGGAGCACGGAGGAGGGAGGGCTGCCCGCGGGAGAAAAGTAACGTGGACTAGAAAACCCGCGCAGCGCATCCTGAACTTAAATTGTTTCGGGTGAGCTGGTGTATTTGACAGGATATCTGGCAGGTCCTGGGCTTTGCAAAACTCCCATGGGTCACTTTGCTGGGGAGGGGTGTTGATAGGAATCACATATCAAAACACATATGTATTTTAATAATAGGTCGTGTAGCTTCTCAGCCGTGTTTGTGTAAGGACGTCCTGCACGGGAAACTTTGTTGAAAAAAGAAATCAAATGAATATGCGCTGGGCAAAGTAATTAGTAGGACACAGCCCTGCATGAAGAGGGGTAGGTGTGCACATGTCGTCCCGTGGCAGGCAGCTGTAGCGTGCACAAACTTCAGCGCACGTCGAATTGCTCAGAACTCTGATAAATTTGGAATCCTTGAAATGCATCGAAGTGTGGTGACAGCAGTTGGCGCGTGGGTGAGGAAATAGCTTGGGAACTGCAGTTCAACTCTAAATGATCTTTTCAGAAACGTGGCCAGTTCAGAAGAGCACAGTGCTATGTGAAAGCGTCATGATACTTTAGTATATACTGCAGTGCATGTTGCAAAATAATTCACCACCACGTTTTATACTTTTTAAGAACGAAAAAGTCTCAATATAATACTTGTTTTAGAAAAATGTGCCTCCCAACGTTACTTGAAAACACCTTGTGCGAAGCAGAAGTTAGGTACTGTGTTACAATACTCTTTGCTTATGGATCTTTTCTACTTCAATGCTTGAGAGTTTTTCCCCACTGAGGAATGCAGTAATTTGTCCCGAGTGGCAATTTGTTAAACCAGTGTCCTCTGGAAATGGTAGTCAGAGGCAGAATTATGGTGGTGTTCCTCATGAGGTAAACCTGAACCATAGGCAGTGTCTGGCCAACACAAGAGAACGCAGAGGGTTTTTGGTAGGGCTGGTAGTCCATGTTTACCTCCTGGTTTTCACACTCACTTTTTAAGAACAAGCAGTACTTCACTGTGAAAAAAGTGGCTGGCTTATTATAGTAGTGAAACAGAGAAAGTCAGACCTGCTTTTGTAGCAGTGTGGATGGAGCTCTGTAGTAAACCAAGACACTTTCCAGTTTGAAAACTTCTCATTTTTTGTGTGGGACAGTACTACTGACATTATAAAGGTGTTTGATGCCATGGTATTGACAGAGTTTGTTTCTTGCATTGAATGTCTTGCACTTTAAAACTATTCCACTACTCTGTAAACATGCGGATTATTTGACTGGTGAATTACCAGTTCAAAGCTTTGTGATACTAAGAAAAAGAAATAACTTGTATTTTTGGTTAGGCTTCACTAGGAACCAGGTTTTTCTGAGCACAGAGTGTTGTTGAACTGTAAATTCAAAAGACGTGGCTTGTTTATTCCAGTTCTGCAGCATACCACCACTGTGACACTGGCCTGTTCGCTTTCCTTACTGAGTTTTACCTGTTAAAATGAAATGGTCGTCCTTAGTTTGAGAGTCCTTTTTAAAGTAAATGCTAGTGAGTTTAACCCCTGTGTTTCCTCAGGGAATAAGGGTTACTTAGCAAGCAATGTATGTCATGCAAACTTCATGTTAAGTACAGCTTGTAAGGTAAGGAAGACATTGTTCATTTGGGTGTGTTGGCTTGGATATCATTACAACTGTAACTTCTTTAACCCCACCCAAATACGACATTGCTTGTTAGGCAGGAACTTCTTTTAAAAAAAAATAAAAATTGGAAGCTTTTAATTAAAAAGATAGTTCACAATTCTTAAGTCAGCCTTAGGTGGTTTGCTTAGTCTTTTTTCCCCTAAACATTTTGTCAAGAAAATAGCATAAGAGAAAAGTAATGTGTTTGTCCAGATCTTTCTAAAGAAGAGTAAATGGGCCTTTCACACGAGTGGAAAAAAAACAACCCTGTGTTTAAGATCATTCAGATGTCTTAGTGGAAGATAATGCCCATCAGGAGTTATTACTTAAAAAAAAAAACTTTCAGAGGGCATAGAGAGGGAGTGGAGAAGGCTGTCCAGTTCAGTGGCACGGTGTATTCTTAAGTAAGTGCACAAGGAGGCGAGTCTTTGTCAGGGAGCATGTATCAGACTGCGAGGGCTAGTGTGGACGAGCACATTTAGTCACTGGCCAGCACCTACTGTACTGGGCTGCCTGTTCATCGGGATGCACGTGACACCTGGCTGGGTAAGGGTGGCCCTTGTGGGAGAGCACACCCTGCCCTGGGGAGTACTGCTAGCCAAAAAGCTTCCAAGAGGAGCACAGCAGGATGAAGCAGGGTGGCTGTCATAGGGACTTGGGTCCAGCGTGGCAATGCTGACTTCGTTTTGGTGCGCATCAAAATAAAAAGCACTTGCTGTACCTGAAAAGCACCTTTCGGGCGGGGGGGAAATCTTGCTTATCTTGATTGTTCTTTGAAAGTTGACCCTATCATTTTAACACAGATTACTAATGTATTGTGTGCTCTGACAGGTTTTGTTTCCTACAATATTATAAGAGTGTACACTTGTACAAAATACAATTTGATTGAAATGCTGCGTAAAAATGTGAATGAGAAGAGTCAAATGATCTACAGTGACTTTTTAATAAAGGTATAGTTTCTCAGATTACCTAGTCACAGGGCTAGAAGAAAAACTTCAATTCCAGCTTACCTTCAATATTGTTTTACGGTGTTAGAGTCAGTATCTCTCCCAGAGCAGCTCCACGTTCCGTTGATGTGTTTTGCCTAATGTTTCAGGGATAAGACGCATTGGCAGGAGGCCTGATCAGCAGCAGCAGCAGCAACAGCAGGGTGAAGGCAAGCCTATTGACAGGAGACCGGAGAGACGACCTCCTCGTGAACGCCGCTTTGATAAACCTGCTGATGAGAAAGGCGAAGGAGGAGAATTTTCTGTTGATAAGTAAGAATTTTGTCTTGCATGACAAAAAACTTCCCTAGCTGTGATAGGAAGGGGCTGTCCTGCATTCTGCTACTAAACTTAAAAAAAAAAAAAAAAGGCTGATTAAATCAAAATTAAATTGATTGAATTAAATTTTAGTCAGTCACGAGAAGAACGTATGTTATGCAGACTATAACACTTTCCTTTTCCATGATTTTGTTTACAAACTTGACTTGAGTTTTAGACTGGGAGTGATCTAATGTGAATAGTGCCATTGGTTTAACTGAAAATACAGTGTAAATCATTAGGATAACAACCATATCTCTCTGAATGTATAGCAGATAGTTTAGGGAAGGAACTTGAGTATAGCTGTTGCCTGCAGGGTGAGAGTTGTTTGCTGTTACAGCTGTTGCTTAAATCTGTACTTCAAGCCAATAAAAGTTTGTCCATGTAAATATTTACACCTTGGCTGAAGTGACTTCAGATCTGGAAGTGGTGAATGTGCCTTATGTCTAGGCAGGTTTTAAAGTGTCTTGAGTGTCATGAAGGATCCATAATTCAAGTGTTCTCAAAGTAGTGTTTAAATACTAAAATTTTAGTATTTTAAAATTTTAGCCAAAGTTAAAATCCTTTTAAAAGAAGTAAGTTGGATGAATGTGAATTAAGTTGACATTGTAGTATCATCTGGTTAACACAATACAAACACTAAATTTTGGAATTTAGTACTGGAAGATGCAAACGAATGGTAATCCTTCTGAGCATTTGTTTCCAGATTCTTAAACGTGGGCATTATATATGTGTTTTTTTCAGTGTAATAATTTGGCACTGAAAGTAGAGCCTTGGCAAAGTTACAAACAGTAATTATCAAAGGAAAAGTAAGCAAATAAAATTCTCAGAAGAGAAAAAGAAAACCCTGAAAATCATGCTGGAAACTTTTGGAGCTGAAACATTCAAGTTTGGCTGTTCCATGCTAGGCCCATTCTTGACCGACCTATGCGTGGACGTGGTGGACTTGGAAGAGGACGCGGCCGCGGCCGTGGAATGGGCAGAGGAGATGGGTTTGACTCTCGTGGCAAACGTGAATTTGACAGACATAGTGGCAGCGATAGATCGTAAGTCTTTAACTTTTTCTTTCGTTTTTTTTTTTGCTATTCTTTACAATTAATACACATTTAAAATTTGCCTTTGAATTTCTGTATCTGGACACTATAATGTTAACTCAGTTTTGTTAGTTCTGTTTCACATTCACATTTCAGCGGCCTAAAGCATGAGGACAAGCGTGGTGGCAGTGGATCACACAACTGGGGAACCGTCAAAGACGAGCTAACGTTAGTAATCTGTAATTGCTCAGAAAACTATTAGCAGATTGTTAATTCTTACAGCTAATTCTTACAGTTTGCAAAATGTAAAGATTTATCTGCCTCTTTTCTTTGATTTTGATAACTTTTGCTACACTATTAAAGCAACCTTTGCAGAATTTAGAAAATTAGTGATGACTTGTAACATAAGAGGTGGCTTCACTGTTAAAACTAGAATTTTCAGGAAGTTTGGAATTGGGGGTCTTGTGCTGGGTTTTGAACGATTCTTTTATTAAAAATAGAACAGTTTAATCTTGACGATGTTGATCAGGTTAAGCAGGCTTTTTAGAAGTACTACATTGAAAGCAGTATTTTTAATACCCAAATCCATTTGGTGTCTCAAGTACCGTGGGAGGCTTTCAGAATAGGTACTAGTAAGTGTTGGGGAAAACCATTAGGAAGGTGGAGAGCATAGAACTTAAAAGGCACAGAGAGCACCAATTCTTAATGAAGTAATTCTTTTTAAAGGAGAGGGTTGTGTAAATCCACTATAGAACTTAGTCATTAATCTTACGTAGCTTTTAAATAGGGATGAACTTTTAAAAAACAAAACTCCAAACATTGTGTAATTGCAGTGAATTGGATCAGTCAGCTGTAACTGAGGAAACGCCAGAGGGAGAGGAACATCCGCCTGCTGATTCTGAAAATAAGTGAGTACCACCCCTTGTAATGTTCTTGTATTGCTTCAAAGGTAGTATTACTTTGCCTTTAACCTCTGATATTTATTCCTACTTCTGTTTTGCCAACCTTAGCTTGTGTTTTCTTCAGTAGATAAATTATCCATCGTGCTGCTGAAAGACTGTCTCTTTAAAAACTGCATGTCTAAAAATTGTTATCTTGAAACTGTTCATTAGTCACTTTCAGATTTAGTTACTAATAATCAGCTCTGAGATGCTTTGGGTCTTGGGATTCCAACTCCCCAGGTACCAAATCCAAGAGCATCAGTGCTCATAACTAGGTAGAACCATCAAGCAAAAGGAACAAAATGTTCTTCTGCCAGTGGAAGGCAACTTTTTTTTAAAACAGTTTTTCAAAACAATTGTTGAGACTGTGTGACTAGCCTGTAGAAGAAAGGTGGTATCTCTTCTATTCTCTGGCTTCTGTGTATGGAAGCAATTTTCAAAGATGTTAACTTCATGGTTCTCATTTCACTCGGACAGTATTACAGAAGAAACCGGTGACTGGATGAATGACACTGAGTAACTAGAGAAGCAGAAGGAGCAGTAGTGATACTTAGGGTTGATGTAAAAACGTGATACAATTTTTCATGGTAGCGTAGTACAATTAAATGTTTTAATTTAATGAGGAATGTGCTTTATGGTGAATTCCGAAGAAGATGGCAAATTGAACTTTGAAAGGTGTTTGCTTGAGATTTCTAATGAGGAGTTTGCTATAGCTTGATTTCCTCCTTAGTAACTTTGGTTAGTGGTAAAGAAGGTACAGTTACTGCATAGAGAATAAGAAATGGATTTAGTTTAACTAAAACAAAGAATAAATGCTCTTAGTTCTCCAAGGTTGTGGTGGTCCAAGTTTAAGGTCATCTTGCATACAGAAGTAGTATGAGGCTTTTTAAGGAATCACAGCTTGAGCATTGGTCAGAAAATGCAAGCTAGCTAGCCCTTAAGATTGTATGCATTAGAAATCTGGATATATTAAATATACTGCAGACACAGCATTTCCTGGATCTTTATTAGCAGCAGTGTCCTGGTGCTTGACCAGATACTGACCCATCTGTGTGCAGGTCACTTGCCTGCAGAATTCTGCAGGCTATTTGTATGGGTTTTTTCTTCCTCAAATCTGCAGAAAACGTGTACACTTCTCAGTTTCAAGCATAACACATCTGTTGTAATCCATCAGTTATCTTTAGAGAAAAGCATCTTTACATGGGTTAGTTTTCAAGTTGGCTAGTTTGGTGTGGACATCTAACCTAAATTTTTCAGCAGAACTGTAGGATGTTTTACTCCATTAAAATGCCAAGGGGTAATATCTTTGCCTTGAACAAAAAAATGGCTTCTGAATATATGCCATGCCATGCCAAAAGTAATTCTGTCCTATAGAAGGAGAAAAAATTGAAATACGGTAATTTTGCTGTGGAACCTCTGCATGATTACATCAAAATTAATGGCTACAAAATAAAGACCTTTTCTGAAGTTGAGGCTTTCATGATCTTTTTTTTTCTACACATACGCGGCACTAGTTTTCTATAATTCAGAAAGTAGTTTTCTGTAAATCAGAAACTTAGTTGCATTAGCACACTGAGGAATGACAAGTCAAGAGGATTGACTGCCTATATAGTTGGAACATGATCTGTTATTGAGCATAGTGGTTGTGTGTTTTACTTAAAAACAGCTCTTTGGAGAAGGTAGAGGCACCAAAGATTTGCAGTGAGGTGATGTATTGCACAAGTAACTTAAGTTGTATGCTGTTGTTTTTTCAAGTTGGCTGGGAAATCAATAATTGTCTTTGGTTCAATAAAGGAAGCAGGCTATCCAAAGTTGATTAAATTCTAGTTTTTAAAAAACTAACAAGCTTGAAAATGTGGTAAGATCAAGTGTGCTCTCACTGCCTTAGCTTGAAGAGTGAGAGAGAACTCTCTTTGGGAGAGGGGTATTTTAAAACGGGGGGTGGGCGGAAGCTCCAAACAAGTCCATTGCAGAAATTAGGCAATTAGGCTTTCATATTTGTAAAGAAAATTGTCATTAATATGGAAAATAGCTGGCATGGGTCGGTGTTAATTTTAACATTTTGCTGTGCTGTGCTTACCATCTAGTTGCTTAAAGGTGTCTGGCTGTGATTTCTTTTGGCACTCTGGCTAAAGGAGATTTCACCTGTGCTTTCTGAGTGGCGGAAGTGCGGGTTTTTCATATACACCTCAACTGCTAAATACTTGAAAGACATTATTTTTGTTAATAATCTGGTGCTGATTTTGAATTTGTTGTATCTAGAGTCTGAGTTCTAAGTCATGATCATAATATCCATGAATTTACTGCAGAGAGAATGAGGTTGAAGAAGTTAAGGAAGAAGGTCCCAAGGAAATGACCCTGGATGAGTGGAAAGCTATTCAAAGTAAGGATCGTGCAAAAGTTGAGTTCAACATCCGTAAACCAAATGAGGGTGCTGATGGGCAATGGAAAAAAGGATTTGTTCTTCACAAGTCAAAGAGCGAGGAGGTAAAGTGATTTTTCAATATTTGCTAGTATCCAGATTGTATAGGTTTTTCTATTGATACGCACTTCTTAGAGTGGAAGCTCCATTTTTTGAGATGCTGACCGGTAGCTGGAAGTTTATTATAAAGTGGGAGCAACATTTCTCTTAAAACTGAAGTTACACAGTAATGTAACTAGTCATTCTTACTGTGGTTAGTTTTAGCAGTTGATCTGTACCATTAGGTTGGTGTATACTGTGATACATCACCTAGAGATGAGGCTGGAATACTGCTGCATCTGGGCAGGTAGCTTTGTAAGGACTGTCTCTTGGTGAGCATTTTGGCAAAAAGTTTGTCTATCAAATTTATTTCTTTGCTTTTTATGCAGTACACAGATCTATGGTGCTTGCTAAACACGAAGTAAGATTGAAGAACTACTGCTCGTGCCTCAGACATCTTAATACCTAAACTGTATTATCTGAAGTTTGTAACATAGGTATCTTGTAATTTTGTAATATTATATAGACAAGCATCCTTGAAGCTTTTGAGCAACCAGGTGAAGTACATCTGTATGCTTCAGTGGTGTTGAACATAGTTTCTGTGGAATTACTTAAAAAATGGTAATTTCTCAAGCATGCTCATTTCAGTCATTGCAAAATTTTAATTACTCGGTTCCAAGATAGTGAGAGTGGCAAGGAGATATGCACTCTTTCACTTTGGAGTGGAGGGAAGTGCTGAGAGCTCTGTTTTCTAACGTAGGGTTGCATTAATCTTTGGTTTTAATCTTTGTTTTTAATACTCTGTAATATCTTAAGTGGGCCACTGTTAATCAGTTTTGTATACCAGATATTTCTGACTCCTTTTGAAGTAAGTAGATCGTATGTAATACGCTGTTTGGTCTTCTAAGAATGTATTTCTGCTTTCTCACACCTTACCAATTTTTTCTTGTAAGCTGGGGGCATGATACAGTTTGGGAGGCACTATTCAGTACTTTCCAGTGAAAACTCCATTTCAAACTTCATTGAACGCAGAATGAGTTTGACTTTGTGACAATCGTGCTATTTTCTTTTCTTGCTGTATAAGGTAGTTCTTTAAATGATTGAGTATCTTTTTGTTTACCTTTAAGCTGTTCAGTGTTTGAGGTGTTCATTAAATACTGCTTTCTCTGGCTTGTGTAGAGAAGGGAAATTGAGTTAGATTTACTGTTGCTGTACATTAAAAGAGTATATTTAAACAGAAGTATTTATGTACTTTACCAAGATTTACTAAACTGTAGTCTTTCAAGTTCCCCCAGCCCCAGTCTCTCTGAAGGAGGCTTGTTTGACATTTAGTCAGCTGAAGACAGTCTTTCTTAACATATGTGCATGTATGATAGTGTAATACTCTGGAGTAATTTAAAAGCTAGAAAGATCCATGCTGTATTTTCCATTTGAAAAATGAATGGGTAGTTAACTCAAAAACAAACAAACAAAAACAACAAAGAAAAGACCCCAAAACAACCCCCCAAAAACCCAAACTACCCTGCTCCAAAAAACCCAAACAAACAAAAAATCCCCCACAAAAACAATGAGAATAACTTACAAAATACTTTCATGGAAGAACTGACGTAATTAGTAGATTGTTCTATTTGAGGTGTATTCGATTAACTTCAAAGAAATGAGTCGGATATTTTTAATACTATCACATAAGAATTTAACAGCTCCTTGCTGTATAAGCACAGAAGTGAGATATTAACAAAACCGTCTTGAAATGTAGATGCTTTTGCCCTGCTTTTATTGTATGTCTGGCAGATGTGTCTCCCTCATTTCATTTATTCATTATTCACTGATCCCATGGGAAGCAGCATCTTGCAAAGTATTACAGCAGAATAGCTCTATAATACAGGTGTTACAAAAACCTTCACTGTGGCTCCTTTGTGAGCAGATTTAGAAGGTAGAATATTTAGAAGTCATGAACAAAACCTACCAGTCGCATGCTGTTCTTTTTCTGTTTGTCCTCTTGGACATACTTATGCGTCATGAAATGAAGGTTGATGTAAGGTTTCTGTGATTCTTATTGATAAGAAGGGAGTTGATGTGTGGAAGTGACTTGGTTCATAGGTAAATTCTGGGGTTTGGCCCAAAATCTTCTGTACTCTTTTATGGCTGAAAAATAACGGAGAGCCCCAGTGGATTTTCTCAGAAACTTGCATTGTGATGACCACCCTCATTCCTGTCACTTGAGAATTACTGGGAGAATGTCCTAGGAGTCTGTGGGAAAAGGGAATATGAGGCTCTAGTACTGTTCATCTGCCATAGTCTTGTGAAAGAGCTGTCCTCCTCCTCCTCCTTGGCCTTGTCACTGAGGGGTGAAACACTTGACCCTATCTGAGGTCTTCCCTCTTTTTCACATCTGCTATGCAATTACTTAAAAGTGATCATTTGTATAAAATAAACGCTTAATACTGTCTCAGATTCTTGCTGCTTTAATATGAAATCCATGTGTATTGGCAGCCCTCATCTAATGAGACTCTTTCCAGGAGATTGGGTTATGCCGTAGAACAAAGATCCTCTTTTTCTTCTCTGCAGGCTGGTTTAGCGGCTTGAGTCTTTTAAGTTCTGGTGGTGCAGCTGAACAAAAAATGGGCAGGAGTTGCATTGCGGAGAGATCTTAAAATTTGTGCAGAAAGTTGGATGCAAGTCTCCTGGAAGGACTGACACTAGTAGATCAGTTCCTGCTCTACGTAGCTGCGGTGCCGTGCCTCTTTCCTGTGCCTTCTAACTTTCTCGCTAATCTAATCGCTTCCTTAGAGGAGGTTACAATGGGAGACTGAGAAATACGTTTTGGAAAAGAATAGTTCATCTCTCAAAAGTTCATCTCTCAAAATTTGGAGGAATGACTCTTGAATCGAGGCTGTGCAGAAACCTTTTCTCATTAACAGTAATTTTAAACATTCCACCCTCTTGTCTGTCTATTTCTGTATGCAGTGTGCCTGATGTATTGAGGTACTGGAGATTGGCCTGCATGCATGGTCTCTATTAATAGAGTTTCCAGCAGCTTGTGTTAAACTTTTTGGTATTGATCTGAGATTTCTCTTGTCTCCACGCCTGTGGTATAGCCCATTGTCTAGTCTTTCTGAATGCTTGCACAGCTGTAGATCTCATCCTTTTTGCTGCTTCATGTGCTCAGTGACATCTGTATCCAGCAAGCTCATGTGACCTTATTACCTGTTGTTTCTGTATGTAGTTGAGTCTCATTTCTTCCTTTTGTTTTCTCCCTTTGTTCCTTTTGTCACTTTGGTGTGGACACGCAACTTTCATCAGACAAAGGCGATGACAGAAATGCAGGGGAGTCTGCTGGAGTCAAATGAGGTACTGATCCTTTATATCTAACTGGTAATACCTGTGTTTTGATACGAGCCCCTTCTGAAATGAAGGTCTGGATATTAAGTCACAAAAATAAAGAATACAAGTAGATACAATATGGAGCTCTTCTGTCCATGCCTGTTGTCTAACTGTGCGCTACCTAGGACCCTTCATGATAAGTACCCTTGCTTCTAATTGAGCTGATTTCAAACCGTATCATAAACGCTTCTATCATGAGTCTTTTTATTTTTTGTTGCTTTTTTCCCCCCATATCTCACTGTCTGCTTTGGCCCCCCTTTCTGTTAGTAGCTTGTTCTTAATTTTTGATAGCCTTCCCCAAGACTTGTAAGTGCAGTAATGCCTTTGAGAAGCTATCGGTTATTAGATTGGAGTGCTGTTGAGAGTTGCCAATACATATAAATTAAATGCTTCCAAAGATGATTCAGAATAAGCGATTTGTACGGTATGTCTTTGACTGTTGTCACCTAAGTGATAGAAGAGTATGAGGAGAACATGCCAAGTCTTTCATTTGGGTTTTAAATTAGCTGTGGTTATTTTGGATGAAGAAATCATTGTGTTATGTACAGAATTCACTGTTTGTTGGGTGTAGTGGTTAAACCAAAGTTAAGCTGTGAAAATACAATGTTTTTGGTAGACTGTAGTGGGTTTTTTAAACAATAACGACGTAGGGAAGGAAATGCACAGAATTACTATTGTACAAAGCCACTGATACTACCTTTCAGAAAAGCGAATGTCATACAACTACCAGTAAGTTGAAAATACCATCTTGGTACCCTGAAGCGATCAAAACTGTAGATAAAATATTAAGCAGTAGGAAAGGAATCAAAACCATAACAAAAGCTATTGTGTACTGTTTCTCAAATTTTTGGTGTACTTAGATGTGAGTAGTGCCATGTCAGGCTGAGATGTGGAATGACTTTTCTCTGAAAAATAACTGCGTAGGCTAACTTCCTAAGTTTGGAAGAGAGATCTCTGAGGGAAGGGTGTACAGTTCAAGTCTGTAAAATCAGGAGTGGGATGGGGATCAGTTGTTACATGGAATACATCCCAGTGAAATATGTTTGAAATAAAGCAGTGTGGAGGGGTGTTTCTCATTGTGCCTAATTAAATTGCAGTGCCCTACACTGCAGGATGTTGTGGAGGCCAAACCTACAACTGGGCACAGAAATGGGTAATGAGATTGGTGGGGGAGAAGGCTTGTTATGGCGCTCTACATTATGGTGCTTGTGACTGACTTAAGGGATCCCTGAAAGCAGCTTTCAGCCTTTTGACTGAAGACCTCTGCGTATCCATTGGCTGCCTTATGAAGGATTCACAAATGGTAATTAAAGGGTATAGGGCTTAATTGCACAATATGTTGCCTTTGAAAGTCAGCATATTGTGTAATTACACCACAAGAAAAGTAAGCTATAGTCAGTAGGCTTAAGTTTGCACATGGCACCTCTTTAGGAAAAAACAAGCAAACTGAAAATTGCTGTGCCAGAAATTAGGTGGTTATACGAAAAAAGAGTTGTATGTTGTCATGTTTCTAACATGATGATTGGGCCTTGTAGGAGGCAGAGTGCTGGACTAGATACACCCTTGGTCTGATCCAGTTTTACATTTTGTGTATTGTCATAGGTGCCAAAACCTGATTACTACATGGAAAATTCATTTGTGCAAAATAGGAAAAAATAATTTAAAAACACTTTGTTCTTTTTTGTGTTCAGTGTGTAATAATTTGAAATACTCAAATGTATTGAATAGTAGCATTTATGGTGTTAGATGTAACCTTGTGCATACCTTGCTCCTTGAGGCTTAGGTTTCTTGCTGGGAACAACCAGCTGTAGGAGATTGTTGTATCGTGGCAAAGGTGGTGAGAGTCCTATTTTTCAGTGTAATTGGTGAGACTGGTTCTCTGTTTCAGCATTAATGTTTTAGCTACTTCAGTTTGTGTTTGAACTGTTTATGCCTTGTTTGCTGTTTGTTATGGCTAATACAAACCAGTAAGGGATTCTTAGCATCTCCCTTGTTCTAAATATTTATACAGGGCTAAGCAAATGAGAAAGTGTAAAGTACTCATTAAGCAAAATAAGGATGGGTTACCAAGTAAGTATTTAAAAAGAATGAAATTAATTGATAGAACCTGAACATATCTCAGGATATGAAGTGAGAAGAGGAGAAATGCTAGAATGCTGTACTGGCTTGCTGATAGCCAGTTTGGTCTCAGACAGGCCTAAATGTGTTCCTCTGAAGGAACTCCAGAGCTTCCCTGAATTATCAAAATACTTTTGTTTGCCCAAGCGCTTGTTTGATTACCTGTATGTGGTTTTGTTGCCTGCACGAATGGTATAACTTGATTTCGAACAATTCCTGCACTATCTTTTAACTTGAATCAATCAAGGTAATCAGTCATCAATGTGGGAGTGCATTTGGAGGAGAACACGCATGCCGTGGTGGTAAGAGTGCAACTACAGATGAAAAAGGTTTCTTTGGAGATTTTTTTCTTACTCATGGAGAAACACTCATTTCAGGCTCATGCTGAGGACTCCGTAATGGATCATCACTTCCGCAAGCCAGCAAATGATATTACATCCCAGCTGGAGATCAACTTTGGAGACCTTGGCCGCCCCGGACGTGGTGGCAGAGGGGGACGGGGTGGCCGAGGGCGTGGTGGCAGGGCCAGCCGTGGAGGCAGAACTGACAAGGTAAGTAGCTACAGCTTTTATCTACAAAAGAGTTTAGTTTCAGCTGGTTTTAGGATTTTTGTGCAGATAGTTTTAGGTGTCTTCCTTATTTCTGAGGGAGTGTCTCTGATGACAAACACCGCCTTCTAAAACCTAATAAAGTGTCTATTCTTACAAATTTACTTTAAACTAGGTTATTGTTAAGACAAAAGCATAAAATTTTCAGCAGTGTTCTTAGTAAACACAAAAAAAGAAGACGAGGGTGGGGGCGTAGTTGGATTAAAAAAAAAAAAAGTATCTGTCTTTGAAGGTTGTACCTAAACCCAAAAAAACCTCTTCAGTATGGACAGAGCTGAATGTACAGTGGGATGCTTCTGTTTGTGCCCGAGCAGAACTGCAAGTGTTGGAGCTGTTATTTTCAGACACAGTCCGGATGGTTTATCTGCATTGTGACATGTTGGGGGTGAAAGACTGGTTTTAAGGCTGCATGTTATATCTTGAAGTTGAGGAATTTTGAGTTTTCATGTGGAAATAGGACTCTTACTTTCTTGTGTTTGTGGGTTTTTTTTTTTCCTAATCTGCAGTAACTGTTTTCTTCCTGAAGCCCCAAAGAAATACTCAGTACGGAATGGGGTTGGGGAGAGAACATGTAAAATTAAAGTACCGTAGTACAGCTACAGTAAAGATTTTATTTAATGCAGATCATTTATTCAGCTTAAGTTGCATCTAATCAAATTGTTACTCGCTAGAAAATGAGTTCAGTCTGTGTGGTGCGGCTTTCTTCACATAGACCAGGCTTGCTTATTTTTGTCTCATGTAGGACACTGACTTTGTTTTCTCTTTTACACTGGAACACTTCAAGTTTTAGACTTAGTAGTTGGAAAACTCTCTCCTGCTACTGATACAAGAAAATTTTAAGGAATTGATATTAAATGGTGGTGGGGTTTGCTCTGAGTTGTTTCACTAATATGGCATCTTGCTTCAAGAGTGCTGTCATAAATTAGTTAAAAGCTTTGAGATCTGCAGCTTGTTTTATGTTGACTGTGTTTATTTCCTTCCAGTTGGTTAAGGAGTTTGACGTGATCCACACACCCAACCAGGTTGGTGGTCTCTGCTGGAACTTAACATTAGCTGTGAGCAAGGGCCTCCTGTTGCAGGGACTCTTAACTCCCTTCCTGCAGTGGATTAGCTTTTTTGGCTTGCTTTCTGCTTTTTTGTAATGAGCAACTGGAGGTACTAGGGCTATAGGCTTAAGGCCCTGCTGTTACTTTCTAACTCTAGTTTGTGGGCTGGGTAGTTCTGCAGTGTCTTAGTCTTGCGTACAGAGGTTGATACAACTTTTATTGGAGTGGTTTAAATATATCTCTTTGTCTTGATAAATTAATATATTTACAGGGAATTCCACTATCCTTGTTCTTCATACTCTTACTCTCTTCCACATCCCTCGTGAAAGTATTCTAAAATACTTAATTTCTGCATTTCATTGTAGCACTGTGTTTTTAGGTGTGGTACAGAGCCTTTTAAAAAAACCAAACAAACAACTACTCTGTTAGGGAAGTACTGAGGAAATTCTTGGTTCATGTGTACGAATTTCTATAGCTAGGCTGGCACAAAAATTATATTTATCATTATATCATTATATTTATAACAGCTTGTTTGTGCCTGGGAAAAATTAAACATCTGAAACTTAATTTGTGCTATAAACAGGTCTCTTGTAACACTTCAGTCATGTCCCTCAGTAAGAATTGATGCTACATGCTAGTAGAATAGCATAAGCCCACATGTAGGGATCTCTTTAAGAATGGAAATAGAGATGTAGTTGTAACCTTGTGCAACAATTGTGCAAGCCTGATCTGTTTGCCAGTAATGTCTCTTCAGATAGCTTTGATACAAAAAGTAGTATAGGAGACTCTTTAGTCCTTGGAATAAAAAAAGAGTTGCTTTGTAGTAATTTGTTCAGGACTAGACCGCTTACTCCACTGTAGCGTGTACCTCTTTGAAACGCAGTGTTTCCCTGTTGAATAGGGTTCGGGTTAAAGTAGTTTTAAAAAGGAAGAATTCCCACCCCTGTTTGTCTGGGGTGCAGGGAGCCCAGTGCAAGTGCCCCCGGTCTGTTTGCTCAGGGTCAGAGGCTTAACCTCATCCCCGTGTCTGCTGGCTGGGCCCCAGCGTGTCCCGCAGCTGCGCAGTGCTCGCAGGTCGTGCTGCCCCGCTGAGCTGCGCACTGAGCCCTGTTTGCCTGGTGAACAGAAGGGCTTGGTAACACGTAAGGAATTAGAAACACAGTAGAGCTTGATGCCGCTGAAGGTAATAACTTTCTGATGTTTCTCTTTCAGTCAAGTGCTTCTGCTCCTGATGTAGATGACCCAGAGGCTTTCCCAGCTCTGTCCTAAACTGGATGTCATAAGCCAACCCCGCCCTCGTCGGGCCTTCCTCTCCGAGGCTTGCATGCTTAAGGATCCTAAACAACTAAGAAATTTAAAAAAAAAAAAAAGAGACTGTCATTCATACCATTCACACCTAAAGACTGAATTTTATCTGTTTTGAAAATGAACTTCTCTCGCTACACAGAAGCAACAATATGGTAGTCAGTTTTGTATTTAGAAATGTAATGGTAGCAGGGATGTTTTCATAATTTTTTCAGAGATTATGCATTCTTCATGGATACTTTTTTGTATTGCTGCTTGAAAATATGCGTTTCCAAACTTGAAATATAGGTGTGAACAGTGTGTACCAGTTACAAGCTTTCACTTCATTTGTGTTTTTTTTTAATTCAGGATTTTAGTCATTTTCCCCGAACTACAAACTGGGTTTTAATTATTGCACACTATTTCTGTTTCCTTAATTCCTGTTTAGCAGATTTTTATCAGCCCATGGTCTTTTGGAATATGTGAAATTTTAATTTGGCAGACTGTTAGTGCTGTGTGGAATACTAACTCCTGGAGTACTTTAGTTTTAATGCTTAATTTCAGACTTGGAAAAACAGTCATTTTTCATCTATGTTTGCTAGTTTGTTTACACAAAATCTTTATACAAAATTGATACCAGATACTTGAAAAAGATTCAAAGCACATTGGTTTATAGTTAAATACCTGTGTATTGATCCAGCAATGATATGTGGATAATTGGTCTAAACAGTTTTTTTAAATTAATGTATTACACCTTTCGCTTGCCCTTTTTACCTTTATTCCCTCCTCCTCCCTTCAACAGAACAAGACTCTTTGTTGGCAAAAAAAAAAAAGGAGTTTTTAGATTCCCTATGCTTTTTCTTTGAGAGGGTGCCCTGCAGATTGGAGTAACCGTTCCTGTTGCTGGAGCTGGGAGGTGGGGGAAGGTGGTAGCTGTTGCTCCGGGAGTCTTTCCGGACTCCGGCTGGGATGTGGAATTTAGCAGCACCGTCTGTTGGCACGAGTACATCAGTACCTGATGTATTCACAGCAGTGCTCCGGCAGCGGCAGGTCTTCCGAGGAAGAAATGACAGGCCTTGGCTGGGTCTGGCAGGAGGGAGTTTTTGGTTACCGTTCCAGATTGGGGACATTGCAATCTGTGCGTGATACAGCGAGAAGATGCAAAAGAAAGGCCCAACACATAATGTCTCTGTCAAAATTTTGTTCTGGATCTGTGCAGTGTTCGAGATCTGATTGCTAGCTGACAAAATGAATGTTTTTCAGAGAGTGATTGTAAGAAACCCTTTCTACCCCGTAGAAATTTGCCCTAGGTTTAATTTAATCCCTGTGAGCAGGAACATTACCACTTCAGTACACAAAAGGAGTTAAGAGAATGACTAATAAAGAAGGTTTCTTAGGGTTTTTATCTGCAGCATTTGTTAGGAGACTAGAAACAGGTTTCTCATTTTATTTAATGTTTTACACTTTGGACAGCTTATAACATATTTGTAGTTTCTTAACTAGGTAGATAGAAAACAAAAGGTAATGCCCTATTTTTTTAAAAGCTGTACAGGACAGGCAAAAAGTATTGGAAACATTTGAATATGAAATACCAAACTCCTTAATTGTGGTGTTTAGCTGGCTTGCTTTATCTGAACTATTTCTACAAAAGTTTTCGTTGTAAACCACTGTTAATATCATTGGATTGGATTTTTAGTGCACTCACCCATAGTTTAAAGTACCAGGCTGTGAGAAGGAGGCAAGTTTTCAAACAGTGGATGGTAAAACCTCTTGGTTCATTTCTCCTGACTCTGAGCTGATCTTAGGCAGGTGCTCAGTGTGGGGGCTGTGGCAGGTCCAGCACTGAGTTATTCATCTTCCCCCTCCCTTTGTGGTTTGGTAGAGTGCGTTGCAGTTTCAGTGTTAGAGACACCTTGGATAATAACAATTAAACAAATGCCTTGATAGGCAGAAACATTTATGGAAAACCTTTCTCTGTAACATAAACCTTCCTCCCCTTATCCAAACTGTATGTTTTCTGGTTTAGTTGTCACTCAGCCTTTTTTCCAGATGACTTCTGGGCCAGCCAGTCAGTCGTTTGGGGCCCTGCTAGCCGGACTTGGTCAGAAGCTTTTCCTTCTCCTGCTTTAGAGCATAGAGCAGTTCCCAAATGGCATGTCACATACAATTTTCAAGACAGCTTGTACTTAAAATTGGTCCGTCCGCTGTTCCGATAGATGTAAATTTGCCTCTTTCAGTCCATTTGTGTTAAGAACTAAAACTGTGAACATATATCTTTAATATTGGTGGGTGTTAACTGAAATAAAGGTTTATTTTCATGCTCTTTTAAAAATGTCATGGAAACACATGGAGATGAAACCACTTAGATTAGTAGCGTCTCATCTAGGTTCTGCCCCAAGAGGTCCAGTCTGCCTGTGGCGATGGTACCCAGGCATTTCCATTGCCAGGAACGGACTTTGCTTTGGGAAAATGTCTCCCTCCAAGTAGCTTATTCACAATTAATGAGCTTGCTCTTTAGTAACACTTTCTGTCCTCGTTTGCTACTTGTGCTGTCACGCCAAATCCAGAGGACTAGACCTTTTAAAATCTGAACAATGTGAAAAAGATGGTCAGCAGAAAAAGTTGGAGAGAAACAGAGAGAAGCATGTGGTGCAAATTGGCTGTAGAATGTAATGATGGCACGGTTTGAGCATGAAAGTTCATCTTACAGACTGAATGCCTCTGATGCTGGGAGGAAACAAGACTGATTAATAAATGCAAGTGTTAGCTGTGTGGGGAAAGGACCTAAATTCTTCTGAGATATCAGAAGTCGGTGTGAATATATGGTGTTTGCAGAGCTGAGACCACTCTTGCCTGTAATGACTCTCTGCCCGTGGAGATGGGTTTGCGTAGCCAAGCCTCTTGTTTTAATAAACGCAGGACATATGACTAAAAGATGACACTTCAGCATTTGCTAACCTTCTTTTCTAAAATCGTTACAAGGGCCACGTTACCTTATTCCGTACCCCTCCTCTGTTCTGCCTTTGCCAGGTAACAACCTCCCAGCCAGGCTCGGGGTGTTTGCGTGAGCGCCGAGTGCCCTGACGCAGCGGTTGGCAAGTCCCCCGCTGTGCTGGGTGCTGGGCTAGAAAAGCCCAGTGGAATATTCTTGCTGGGGGGGTGTAACCTGACTGTGGGGGAAGGGGTTCATTTACCCTTACAGGGAGACTTTCGGGTAGGAGTGAAAAAGTTTGGTGGTTGTCCTACTCATGATGCTGTTTGTCTCTTCAAGTTGCAGTAAGGTTTTCTTGCAGTAAGGTTTTCTGGGAAGCCCCGTGTGGGAATTTACTTAAGGACTTTGAAGAACAAGGAGAAAACACATGCAAGTGTTGCGTTGTCCATGTGTTGAAGGTCAATACGCAGAAATAGATGAATGACAAAATAGTGTGCTTTTTTTTTTAAATACCTTTCTTTGGTAATAGGTATCTAATTTGGCTGCATGCAGCTGACTTGTGCTGATTTGTCTGTGATGCCCAGCCAGAATCCTCTTGCCAATGTGGTTGCCAGATTGGCTATGGAGAGCACGAAAATGGAGTTCTGTTGTCTTGGATGTCCGACCCAAGCCAGAGAGAAACGTTTGCCTCAGAGTGACACCACACCAGTCCTCACAGAGGGAAGATGTCTGTGTACCAGGATGGGGACAAAACCTTGGAACCAGCTGCTAGACCCAAAAAGCAAAATTAGAGAGCCGGCACTTCCCTGGTACTGTTTAAGACGAGACCAGCCTGGGTGTAGGTTATTTGTCTGCCTTAGGCACGGTGTTTTGACAGGTAAAATACCTGCCGGCAGTGACGAAAGGCAGTGCCACAGGAGGGCGTAACTCACGAAGGAAGGAGGGCTGGGTTTGTCCCTGGCGGTGGTGGCTGTCCCCGCTTGCTGGGCTGCGCCTGCAGCCCGCGGGCTGCCGCTTCTCCGGCACTGAAGTTTGCAGGGCCGCGGGGGTTAGTGTGCCTTGGCTGAAGTTGGAGGGCTGCAGAACTGCCCCCCTCGGGCGTTTCCAACGGGTGAGTTGAAGCATGCTGTCACTTTGTTCCCTGGAAGAGAGGAAGCAAGTGGAAGCTTACAGGTTGGTGTTTTACATATTTCAGCAAGGATTACAACTTGAAAATAAGAAAATAAATGCGAGGACTTGAGGTGTGCAAGGTGGCCGTCGCCTGCGCGCAGCGCCTGGGTCCTGGGTGGCTGTGCAGCCGTGGACGGGTCTCCGCGTTGGCAGGGAGCAGTAAACCTGATGCGGGCTTGTGGACGGCCCAGTGCGAGCCGAGGCCGCCTCGGTTTGTGGCAGCTCGCCGCCCTAGGGCGTGAGCTTGCCTGTAGGTACCCCTAAGTGTGCTTGGGCTGTTTGGTCCTCTCCTGAGACGTTGCTACAAAGGTCATCGCAAAGCCAAGAGGTGAGGGAGCTTTATTTTACTTGCATGTTCTTTACTGGACAGAGCGAAGGTAAATCGGGTATGGCATTAGTTTTACTGCAGTCTTTCTGTTCAGCAGCTTGAATTTGCACATGCCCAGCATGCCCAGTTGTGTTTGGGACTTCTATTGATAAACTGCAGGATTTCCGTGGTGCAGAGGACAGGGAAAAGACGTGCTTCTGTCCTTTCCACTAAGAAAGCGGCACCTGAAGGTCTGCCTGGCTTGGTGAGGTGGCCTGGCATGGGAGGCTGCAGCGTGGCACTTGCCAGCCAGCGATGCGGAACCAGAGGGAAGTGTATCCGGACGAGGTGGCCTTTGCTACTTACGTGCTTTTTCTTGCAGCAGTTTCTTTTAACGGTGGGCTGCCGTGCACCTTTGTCAGATTTGGATGAAGATGCTGAAAGAGGTGGCTGCTCTGTAGGTTGCTTGTGGACTGCTGGTAAAAGCTCTTCTCGTATGGAAGGAAGCGCGTCCTCCCCTGCTGTGCTGTCTGAGCACCTGCATGTCTGAGCTGGCACCTTGAGCGTGGAGCTCCTGCACCGGTTTGGAGGTGGCAGTGAGGATGCAAAGAAGCCCCAGGGTTGAAACACTATCCCAAAATCCAACTCCAAACTAAACTGGTAGCTACGTGGGTAGGGCTGCTGCATTGCAGAGCTGCCGCGAAGCCTCCTCGCATGTGATTTTATTTCATGATTTTATTTGGAGGCTGCAGATCAAAAAAAATCGTGCAGGTTCTGACACTCCTATTGAAATGTGGGCGGAAGGGGGACCGTACATCGCTTGTGTTGGTACCGTGGCGAGGCAGACCATGTGCTGTGTCCTGACGAGCGCATGCACCTCCCTCAAGCGAGAGGCTGCATGGTGCCTGTTCACCGGCACATCTGGGAAT